TACCAAGGATTGAGAAGGGGTAAAGAATAAGTAAAATACGCCATTTTTGCTTGATTTTTTTCAAAGATTGGTGATGTCGTCGAACTGCCTTTTAAGTGATAAAGGTTAAGTGGACATCCTACTGAAAGCTAGCTAGGAAATAGGAATTTGCTCAAGATACTCAATTTATTGGTAAGTGTGGATAAATATAAGTACAAGGGTGCTGGCAGCTTAACTTAAGACATGAAATGGTTAAGGGCACCTGGGTGGCTCAGTCGTTAAGCGTCTGCCTTCGGCTCAGATCATAATCCCAGGGTCCTGGGATGGAGTACCCTGTCGGGCTCCCTGCTCTGTGGGATGCCTGCTTCTCCCTCTCCCACTCCCCCTGCTTGTGTTCGCTCTCTTGTTGTGTCTCTGTCGAATAAATCTTAAAATACATGAAATGGTTAAGTGTCACCACATCCATGTATATAGCCATTATAATGGTTACAAGGGCCTACTGTAATCACAAAGATGAATCTCATGTTAACTAGTTACGCCTGAAGTTAAAATACATCGTTAATCTGTGCGTTGACAGAAATGTTGAATAAACTTTTGTCCTTTAAAATACGTACCTATGAAAAGAACTGATAGGTGGTCTGTTTGGATTTATTCTCATTTGTCTCCTACTCTTACATCCTTAATAGGTATTGGAAAATGCAATTAGGTTTTTGTTTCTTAGTATCAAGTTTATCAGTAAAATACTTAAATACAGAACTTAAGTTGTTTTGTGAGCTTGGGCAAGTTACTTGGGGTTTCTTTTTTATGCATGCTACACTTCGGCAGTTTGGTGGTGCCAGTAGGCTCCTAAGAATGTTGGTTTCATATACATTAAATATGTAGAATTAAGCATTACATTGAAAATAGTAATCAAGGGGCACCTGGGTGGCTCAGTTGGTTGGGCATCCGACTGATTTAAGCCCCGGTTGTGAGAGCCCCATGTTGGGCTCTGTGCTGGGCTTGGAGCCTGCTTAAGATTCTCTCCCCCTCCTTTTCTCAAAAAACAGTAATCAAAATATATTAAGTTTGGTTTAATAACACATGCTTCAAGTATTAAATGAGGCTAGTGGGTCTGACTTCGGATTTTGAGGTTGTGATGCATAAATTGTATTTTGAAATAACAGGAATCTGTAGGGATTTTTAATAGTTTAAGCACTGAATACCATTGTGATTTGTCTCTAATATTGAAGGAAATGTTAAGTTTCATTAAATGTTTTAAGTAACTCAGTTCAAAATTCTGAAATTCTATCCAGAGTAGCTGTTTTTACCTAATTCCTTTTTTGTAAAATGGAGATACACCTACCCTCATTAAGTCTGAAGTTTAAATCTGATAATGGGCTTAAAGAACTTAATCTGGGGGTGCCTGGGTGGCTCAGTCATTAAGCGTCTGCCTTCGACTCAGGTTATGATCCTAGCGTCCTGGGATTGAGCCCCACATCCGGCTCCTTGCTCCGCGGGAAGCCTGCTTCTCCCTCTCCAGCTCCGCCTGCTTGTATTCCCTCTCTTGCTATGTCTGTGTCTGTCAAAATCTTAAAAAAGAAGACAAACTTAAATCTGTTGCCTGGTCCCTAAAGATATTTTTGGTAATAATTATGGGTACCATCTTAGTATCTTCAGGCATAGTTAAAATTTTAATGGGTGACCAAGGTAATTATGCCAAGGTCTTTTTTTAAAAGATTCATTTGAGAGAGCACGAGATAGCGAGAGAACACAAGTGGGGGAGGAGAGGGAGAAGCAGACTCCCCACTGAGCAGGGAGCCCCACTCAGGGCTCCATCCCAGCACCCTGGGATCATGACCAGAGCCAAAGGCAGATGCTTAACCTTGACTGAGGCACCCAGGGGCCCCTTATGCCAATGTCTTGAGTTTTCTTCTCCACATACAATGAAAGTGAGGTCTTTTAAGTTTTTTCTCCAGCTCTCAAAAAGTATAAAAAATAACTGAAAACTGAACCTGTCCTGGTATCTTTTTTTATTTTTTTAAGATTTTTATTATTTATTTGACAGAGACACAGAGAGGGAACACAAGCAGGGGGAGTGGGAGAGGGAGAAGCAGGCTTCCCGCTGAGCAGGGAGCCCGATGCGGCACTCGATCCCAGGACCCTGGGATCATGACCTGAGCCGAAGGCAGATACTTAACAACTGAGCCACCCAGGCGCCCCCTGATAAGTATCTTTAAACTAGGAATGAGAAGTATTTTGTCTGTGTTCTGAGGCTTAAACAAGTATGGTAAGAGAAGTAGTGTAAGTTGAGCAGCCACCCATTCCCTAAAAATCCTGGGCTTGAGAAATCTCAGCAAGAAAATGTTTCTTTACATTAACAAATGCAGTATCGTTAAGATTTCTAAGAATGCTTGGTATACATTAGTGTAAAAGGCATAGGTACACATTTTAAAACTAGAAACTTGAGTTTGATGTTTAACAATTGGATAGCCAAATTTAACCTGAGGACAGTAAAAAGCTCTAACTGAAGTCCAGATCAAGAGATGAAAACTTGGCTTCGTTTTTTTGTCATGAGGTTAGGATTTGCTATATTTGAAAATTTGGTTTCTAATTCTGCATAGTGCAGTATGGTTAGTACTCCAAAGTAATTTTTTCAGGTACTGTAAAGAACTATGGTTACTTAAATAACTCACGTGCTAGCCGGCTAGAAGTCTGTTCCAATCCGCCGGCATTGTTTTTCACCCCTTGCCAGTGCCAGCCAATTCCAGGTGGTGCTGCTGGTTTCAAATTCATGCCACACCCCCAACACCCCCCCCCCCTATAATTTTGTCTAAGGGTGGGGCACTTCAGTCAAGATCCGAGATTTTTTTCCTTGAGGTTGGAAAAATGTCTCTAGGGATCTCACCATCAACCACTTACAGGAGAAGATACATGAACTGCATGAAATAGGCCTGAGGCAGAATCTCAATGCCTATTAACATACACCCATTAAAGTTTTTTTTTTTTTAAAGACTTTATTTGACAGAGACAGCGAGAGGGAACACAAGCAGGGGGAGTGGGAGAGGGAGAAGCAGGCTTCCCGTGGAGCAGGGAGCCCAATGCGGGGCTCGATCCCAGGACCCCAGGATCATGACCTGAGCCGAAGGCAGGCGCCCCTACTCCCATTAGTTCTTGAATTCATTTTCAACCCTGAGCTTTGTCATTCAAGTCAAATTCTCTTTATCTGACTTTAGTGTCTTTCACTAGCAACTAAAAGTGATCCTAATAACAAGGCTAATAAGGACAATGAGAAAACACCCATTTATAGAGTGCTTAATGAGCTAGGCACAGTACTTTTTGTGTAGTAACTCAAAACTTCTTGCCTTACAGAGAAGGAAATGAGCCTGAGTGCTTTGAGTTACTGGAGGTCATTCTAGGAAAATAGCAAGCCCAGCCAATCTGGTTTTAGGGCCTGTGGACCTTTGCACTGTATTGCTCTTAATGGATTAATACGACTCCGTGAATAATCCACATGTAAATTAATCTAAATGTAATTCTCAAGATAAATCTCCATTTCCCTACTTTAAAAGACAAACTGATTAGATGAAGAAATAGTGAATCAATGCTGTGAGCGGTCTATTGGACAGCCTGCAGATTTTCAGAGTTTTGTGGGGCCTTAATTTTTTATGTTTAATCTCTCAGTGTGTCCTAAAGTGAACGGACTTTCCCACCTAGACTTCCCTTCTCACCAGTCTTCATCTCAGGGCAACTCAATTCTTTTTTTTTTTTTTTTTTTTTTTTTTTTTTTAAAGATTTTATTTATTTATTCATGAGAGACAGAGAGAGAGAGGCAGAGGGAGAAGCAGGCTCCCAAGGAGCAGGGAGCCCGATGCGGGACTCGATCCCAGGACCCCGGGATCATGACCTGAGCCGAAGGCAGACGCCCAACCATCTGAGCCACCCAGGCGCCCGGGCAACTCAATTCTTAATGGATGTTTAAGTCCTTGACTCCACCTTCACCCAACATCCATTCTGTCAGAAAATTATTTTAGTTTTACCTTTGAAGCCTGTAGAATCCAGTGCCTTATTCCTATCACCACCCTAAACCAAGACAACACTATCCCTCCCATGTATTTCAGAGCTTCCCCATTCGTCTGACTGCACTCCCATCTTAACCCTCTAGACTATTTTCAACACACAAGGCTAAGGAAATTTAAAAATCAGATGTTACTACTTAACACCTATAGCTCCCCATTTTGCTAGGTAAAAGCCAAAGCCGTCAGGAATGTGTAACAGGGTTCTGTGCCATGTTCCACTCTACCTGCCCTCAGTTTCCCCCCCTCCGTTTTCAGCCATGTAGTTCTTGTTCTGTCTCAAATAGACTTCAGAGCCTTTGGACTTCTGTGTCTTGTCTGCAATACTCTTTTTAGGTAATAGAATGGGTCTCCCACATCTTCAGATGTTGCCATCTCAATAAGGCTTTTCCTATTTGCAACCTTATTTATTATAGCATGGGGGCAGAGGGAGAGAGAATCTTAAGTAGGCTCCACGCCCAGTGCAGAGCCTGACATGGGGCTTTATCTCATGACCCTGAGATCATGACCTGAGCCAAAATAGCGTCTGACGCTTATCGACTGAGCCACCCAGGTGCCCCGGGAACCCTATTTTAAATTGCAATGCTTCCTTTCTACTGGCCTTGCCAATCCTGGCATGTGTAAGGTTTGGTGTCTTCAATTCCAGGAGGACAGGGATTTCCACTGTGTCCTTTGTACTTTAAAAAATATCTAGCACATGGTAGGCATACATGTACTGATGTGAGTAAACTGAATCAATGTTTTCATGTCAACATACAGTATTTTCCTTGGTTGAGATATACTTGCTATTGAAGAGAGAGAATATCTTCTTGATATACTTGGTATCTCTGGGACCAGAAGTTTAGTACAAAATGCTTTTCATATTTTCAGTGGATGCAAACATTCTGAAAATGCAAAATACTTAAATATGTTAAGTGTGTTACTGTTATGGAAGATAGTGTGAATAAACTCAAATGAATTCCAAAGAAATAACAATCATAATACTCCTTTATTAGTACCAGCTTTTTAACTAAATTGGTTTTTGCCAGAGCTAAACAATTTAATATAAAAAAATGCCTTTTTTGTTCATACAGTATTTATAAAAAAGTACATAGTGGTTAGTTTTGCAACAATTTGCTCTTAGCCAGATACCATATAAATGAACGTAACAAATGAGATAAGAACAGTATAAATAAGTTTTTGTAGTATTTACACTTATACAGAAACTAGCCCAAATGGTGTTCTAAGAAATTAAGTTTGCAGTTAAAGTGAAACTACTGATTCAGCATACTGATGACTTATTTTAATGCTTTTTAAAGTTTATATTATCTTCTATACTAGTTTTGACTATAATTTTGCATAGAATTACTTATAAAGTATATTTTTGCATTTCACATCACAGTAGGAGCTTTTAGTATAACAGTACAAAAAAACAAAAAACAATCCCCAAAACAAACAACCCACTAGCTCAGAAAAAGGTCAGATCTTCCCAAATCTAGTTTTTCTTAGTATCTGGCTTCTTACTTTTGGGCACAAGGAATACATTGCCATCTCTTGTTTGCTGCAGGGAGTATTCACTAGGAGAGTAAGGTTTTCCATCTTCATCACGGAGCATGCTGAAGACTTCGAGATACAAGGTGCTGAGTTGTTTTTTCAGTAGATGGAGGCTTTTGTCATTCTCCCCTTTTTCTCTAAGCAATTTTTCTTTTTCATCTTTTAAATGATCCAAATCTTGTTCCAGTTCCACTATATTTTCCAGTTTTCTTTTTCTGCAATTCTGAGCAGCCACTTTATTCTTACCCCTCCTGCGTATATCTCGAATTAATGCCAGTTGAGCCTCACTGAACTGCTCCTTGGACATCATTTCATTGAAGTCATCAACAGGGAGGTTAATGATTTTTTCAACAGGGAATGGGATATGGAGAGCTTTTGCCCTTAGCTCATCTCTTGTGAGATGAGCCTCCAAGCGGCTTGAATGTTTGTCTTTTGTGAATGGGGTTTTTCGATGACCAGGGCTTACAGGCAATTCTTTCTTTGGTGTGTTTTCGCACTGGGCATCCCGCGCTGGAGCGCTGTGCCCTGGAGATGGTGACAGGGGTTGGACTGTATCTCCAGCAGACTGTACTGGCGGTGTTTTAGGACCATTCTGTTTGACACTTCCAGGAGCACTATCTATCTCTTCCATTTCAGAATCACTGAAGCCAAGTGGTGTGTCTCCATAGACAGAAGATTCCACCGAGTGTTCTGGTGATGCCATGCCAGGACTTGTGTTGAGTGAAATGCCAGAGTCAGAATCATTGAATTCTGTGCTTTCAGGATGATTTTGGTTGAAGGCTTTACAAAGTGATAGCTCAGAAACATCAATGGGCCCATTAAGAAGTTCAGAGAGTGACTGGCTTAAAGTAGCAGAGGAGGGCATGCTGTTGCTACTACTGGGTTCTGCTATGAAAGCAGAATAAAATTCATCACCAAAATCTGTGTTAATTGTGGCATCTGAATTTAATGAGTTCACGGTCAGCTGGCTGGAATCTTCTGTGGAGAGAATGCTGCTGAAGGAATCCTCGAAAGCACTGAGAAAATGTGGACTGCAGTTACCTACTTCTTTTTCCAACGAGGGCATTGATGGGAAGAAATGGTAACTGTTGTCAATTTCTGTCATTTTGGTTTCTGGACTTGGAACCGTGCTAGTCTCAACCAACTTGTCATTTTGAATATTAAGACACTGTGTGGAAAAGAAATTTTGACTAAATGTAAATCAAGGTTAAATATTTTCATAGCTGATTATATATATATCTCATGGCAAATATTTATTTTTAAAGATTTTGAAGTAATCTCTACACCCAATATGGGGCTTGAACTCACAACCCCATGGTAAAGATTCACGTGCTCCACTGAATGAGCCAGCCAGGTGCCCCTGATGGCAAATATTTTTAATAGCTGATAGTCTGTATCTGATGGTAAACTCTTTCCCCACCCCAATTCTTTCCAGGCTCTTCTGTAATTCAGATAATTCCCATTTCTAACAGATATTTAGGTCTAAGCATATGTATTATTTTCACAGTTCCTAGATCAGACTTCTGGTCTACAAAGACCAGATCTTTCCTCAAGACATCCAGTCCATTTAACTAATAAAAGTGAGCACAGGCAGCTCTCGTGACTGAAGTTTATTTATTTAAGTAATCTCTACAGCCAACGTGGGGCTCAAACTCAAAACCCCGAAAGAGTCGCATGCTCTTATGACTGAGCCACCTGGCAGCCCTCTCATGACTAATTTTTTTCTTTTTAAGATTTTATTTATTCATTTGACAGAGACACAGCGAGAGAGGGAACACAAGCAGGGGGAGTGGGAGAGGGAGAAGCAGGCTTCCCCACAGAGCAGGGAGCCCGATGCAGGACTCCATCCCAAGACCCTGGGATCATGACCCCAGCTGAAGGCAGACGCTTAACGACTGAGCCACCCAGGTGCCCCTCTCATGACTAATTTAAAAGCACCCTCCAATCCTTCCATTAAGTAGGTGGCATGTAAATAACTGGAGTAATTAATTTAAAGGCACTGAATATAAAAGTATCTTTGGCATTTATTGATATTAGATCTTAGTTACCTGCAATTCTGGAATGGATAACAGCTCCTCCCAAACTTGCTCGATGTCCTGCTGCATATTGTCTAGATCAGCAATGACTGACTGAACGACGAGAGTTTGAGGTGACTGAGCCTGATTAGGAGCAATGAAGACTGGATTCTCGATTTGGCTGGGAATATCAGGAACAAGTGACTGAAACGCAGCTGAAGAAACCTAAAATCGACAGCATTTCTCTACATGAGTCTGCCAGCAACAGTGGGGAAGTACATTCCCAGGCACCATCACACCACCTTAAACTGGAACTGGCTAACAGTTCTGTATTTCTCTAGTTATAACCACTTATAACCCCTAGTTCTATATAATGAAACAAATCTTTTTCCCCCTGCCCAACTGACTCTAAATTGACTCATTTACTAGCTTAATTGTTCTATCCCTTGCATTTGAAGGTGAATTTCAAAATAAGTAACAATCTTTAGGATTTAATTTGTATCTCTTGGTAAAAATACCTATTATAGTGCTTCAAACACAATAAATTTAAAATTGTTAATTGAGCAAGTCTTTTTATTACCCAGCTTGCTTCTCACTCACCAAAAAAATTTTTTTTTAAATTTTACTTATTTATTTGACAGAGAGAGACACAGCGAGAGAGGGAACACAAGCAGGGGGAGTGGGAGAAGGAGAAGCAGGCTTCCCGCCGAGCAGGGAGCTCGATGCAGGGCTCGATCTCAGGACCTGGGATCATGACCCGAGCTGAAGGCAGACATGCTTAACAACTGAGCCACCCAGGCCCCCCCCCGCCCAATTTATTTCTAAGTACCTATAACCAATGAGTTATTTGTTTCCATGGTTATGCAGATCCATGCTTCTGAGTATGCAGGGATAAGTGGTTTTGGTTTTGTATTGTGTAAGGGTCTTTTTTTTTTTTAATTGTAAAGTTATCTACAGGCTAAGGTTTTTTTGACAAAATTTCCTCCTAACATATTTTTTTAATAGAGACACACTTATAGGATATATTAGATATAGCTGGGGAGTTTCACTGTTAGCCAAATGTTGTACCTCATTGTCATCTACAAACGGGAATGTCTCTGCCAAAAGCTGCATGCAGTCATCAAAGTACAAAGCATCTGGTTTGGGAATGTGGGCAACCTAGATAAAAGGAAAGACAGAAAAGAAGAAAAAGATTGTTCAGTGTCATACAAGGTTTATCATTTAGTTAATCAAACATTTATCTTCTTTCAGAAATCAGTTTAGTGTAGTATAGAGCACAGAATCAAACAAACCAGACTATCTGGGTTCCATTCTTGGCTTCCCCAATTTCTTGAGTGCTCTGGGCAAGTTCCTGAGTCTCTGAGCTTCAACTGCTCATCTGTGAACAAAACACTAGTAATCTGTACTACTAGTTTTACTGCTGCTAGATCCTTACGTAATATTTCCACAGCTTACAAAGCACTGTCATGTAACTTATGCCCTTCGCAATCCTTACAACTCTGTGAGGTAAGTTAGGTGTTGAACTCATCAGGAGGTTGGGAAGTTGACTTGATATGGAAATGAAGACATAGTAAAAGGCAAAGCTGGAACTCAAATCCAGATGTTTTAACTCTTGGGCCAGTATTTGTTCCTTAAACCCTGACACCTTCCCAAGAACTGAGTTTTCTGTACCTGGGAGTAGTTGGCAGATCCACTGGTTTCTGATGGGACGTGCTGGGCTGGCTGAATTGGGAGGAATTCACCTGTTTCTTCATCTAGTTGTAATTGAGCAAAAAAGGCTTTCTCTTGCTCCTTTTGGAGTTGTTCTTGTCTTTCCTTTTCAAGTTTTTTCTGTTTTTCCAGTTCATGCTCCTTCCGTCGTTGACTGAAGTCAAATACTTCTCGACTTACCCCAAGATCTATATCTTGCCTCCAAAGTATGTCAATCAAATCCATGTCCTGTGTTTAAAAAAAAAGAGGAAAGAGACCACGGTTAATATGGTTTTTTAAATGGCAGATATCCTATAATTTACATTATGCCATTGTTGATGGTCGGGGGTAGGGAGATGACAATCTGAATGGTAACACAGATCCAGTGTTCTGGAAGGGCATAGTTAATTCCATTCAATGAATCTATTCATTAAAAGAAACAACAGCCTACAAACACAGCCATCCATTCTAATCACTTATTGGATTATTAACAACTGGGTGATAGTAGAGGTCACTAAAGAGCAAAGTAACATGCTGCACATTAAAGCTCTTGAATTAAAAGAAATCCCACACTTGTTTAATGGAATATAGAAATTAGAGCAGGCACTCCAAGCCACTGGTTTCTTATGACAAATGGAGTTTGGAAAACATAATCAAATACGTGGAATTTTTTCTAAACCTCAGCAAATATCCATTTTACAGAGGGGGAGAACCCTTGTTAAATGTCAATCTAGCCATTGTGAAATATCACCATTCTTTTGGTATTTCCTACACTGAATTACCTTCCCCCATCATTTCTTGCTATTCTTGTCCCCGTGGCTCATTTATTGAAACAATTTCCTCTTGACTTGAGTTTTAGCTCCTGAGGCATGAACAAATCCGTAAAGAACAGTCCTAATCTTGTGACCCAGGGATGCAGCAAGAGGCTGCCTTGAGAAAGAGGTAGTGCTCACTAGTTTCACTTCTGAGAAATCACAAATAACCCTCTTAAAAAAACGCACAAAATTAAAAACAAAGAAACAAAAGACATGGCTCCAGGGAAGGAAGGAAGTTACTAAAAGTTTATTATTTCTATTTTTTTTTTTATAATGTCTGATTCATCTAGTTTTCTTCCCCCCCCCCCCTTTTTTTAAGATTTTGTCTATTTGTCAGAGCACGAGCAGGGGGAGGGGCAGAGGGAGAAGATTCCCTGCTGAGCAAGGAGCCGGATGCGAGACTTGATCCCAGGACCCTGGGATCATTACCAGAGCCCAAGACAGATGCTTAACCGACTGAGCCACCCAGGCGTCCCGGAAGTTACTAGAAGTTTTAAGATATGGGGAGAATCTTACAATGAGGGAATGGTTATTTTGATCTCTGTAACAAAGCTAGGCCTTGGTACCATGTCCAGATTTTCCTAACCACGTGTTAAAAGCAGTTTTTCTGATTTATAACTTTAGTTTTTGGAAAAGTCCACACAGGTAGGAAATTTAAATCACTTTCCACTTAAGACATCATCTATTCTGAAAATAATATAATGAACTGAGACTAGAAAAATCAAGACATGGGGGGAAGGGAGCTGGAGCCTGAAGGCAGGTGGACACAGTGCGCACAACCATCACAGATGCATTTCGGTTCTGATGACGGCTGGCGGCACTGGGTGGCCTGGTGTGTCGAGACTCTACTACTTTCTGCCTCCAAGGACAAAAATAACATGGCTGTTGCTTCACTGAGCAGTTAGGCTATTTCTACCCAACAGAGGAGGAGCAGGCCACCCAGCCTAAGGGCAGCACAGCTGCATGGGTAGCAGAGGCCACCTCTAAGCCCTGGTGGTAGAATCATAATGCTGTTTATCAGTATTCTCGCCCGGAGCAGGGTTGAAGAGTATCCGGCACACACAGTAGGTATAGTTAGGACGGCATCTGTAGCTCTTCAGAACTACAGCTGACATCTACTGCAGGCTTTCTACATGCCAAACATTGTTCGAAGTACTTTCCCATATATACAAATGAATCCACAAGACAACCATATAAAGATAGCATTCTTATTTTACAGACGAAAATACTGAGGTTTAGAAAAAAGGGATACTGCTGGAAAGTGTACAGGGATATGTCCTGGGCAGCCTCAATCTTGGACTCGTGCTGTCTTAAACCCCAAGTTACACTAAAAAATATAAAATCTGATCACTGACCAGTGGTTCTTAAATTGGGCAGGATATGGGGCGCCTGGGTGGCTCAGTCAGTTAAGTGGCTGCCTTCGGCTCAGGTCATGATCCCGGGGTCCTGGGATCGAGCCCCGCGTCAGGCTCCCTGCTCAGCAGGGAGTCTGCTTCTCCCTCTCTCTCTGCCTACTTGTGCTATCTCTCTGTCAAATAAATAAATAAAATCTTTAAAAAAAAAAATTGGGCAGGATATAAAATCCACTGTCATATATATACTTTGCTTTCACATCTTGGTGGTGTGAAAAACTGGCCAGTTTACAGAAGGTTGTCTTGAGCCTCACAGATCGTCTTCCTGGCCACAAGAGCATAGCAACCATAGAGCATTTATTCATACATGGCTCTCTCCTCAGACAGCTCCCCACTAACACTGAGCATGAAAATCATTTCCAGTTTAAAAATGATGTGTTTCCACCATTTTAATGGACACATTTATCCAAAGGTCATGTGAAAGACAAAGGTCCAAGGCAGAGAGAAACCTACTTTAAAATTCTGATTTGGTAGGTCATATCTTCTTAGTGAATTTAGATACAGCAGAGAATCCTAACTAGGCTGTTCTCCAAGCTGGAGCAAAGGGAGCAAGGTATTAAGGAGGTCTTCAGACTATTCACATCCACTGAAAGCCAGCACTAAAAATTAAAAGAATGCATGATCACATAGTCTCAGTTGAACTCCAGTCCCTCTCAAGAACTGATGCAGACAGTGCGCTGACCTCTTCAGATCAACAGAAGAGAAATGCAAACACGTGTCCTGGCACCTGGGGTCCCTCTGGTGCATCCCTTCCTCACTTGCCCAGAATGCCTCGGCGGGGGCTTCTCTCCTTGTTAAGAGATCCCAGGATAAAAAGCATCATCCAGTTTTGATTTTTTCATAAAAGAACTGAAAGAACACTGAAGCAGTTTATGCTGCAAATACCTGCTCACAAACCAGACTTCCAGAGTATCCCCAGAAACCAGCTCTATGGGCTGGAAGAAAATTTCTACTGTAATTTACTCTAAAATTATCAGTGGCGGCCACACCAAGAGTTGATACAACTCTATTCTTTCCTTTCCTCCCCTTTCCCCCCACCAGATGAGCTGTCTTGAGTGGGTTCAGATGGTTTAGCTATACATTCAGTATATAACTGTTCTATCCCACCCCTATCATACAGATGTTGGTGGATCAAGTGAGATGTGAAAGAAATCTCTCCATAAATGTAAAGTCTATGCAAATGTTGCTGTGCATGCTGACAGTGATGGTTCTAGAACTTGTTGTAATATAAGCAAGATCAAACGCAAGGCCAATGGATGATCATGAAGCTGTGGACCTAAGTGTAGTGGGAGCCTGCAATAACATTCAGCAATGAAGCTACTTGGTTGCTCCTCAGGGAGGGTCTGAAATGGACTACTGGGCTTGTGCAACATGTATTGAAAACAAAAACACATAACATACACTTTCCTGTTTACTTTTATGTATACACATACACCCATTCAACTGTTGTTCAATTCCTGATAGGACTACCCTTCAATGCACAGCCAAACTGATTCAATTTTTTAAAATTTCCCCTAACATACTCAGAAAAGAACGCCTTGATGGATCTTTATCAACAAACAGGAAAAAGAGATTACAAAGCATCACTTGGATCAGCTCTTAAGCATCCTGTTCTCCTGTGATCTGAAACAAAGCTGGGCCCAGGGAGGCGGATCATCTCCTACAGCCCAAGCTTACTGTCTCCACCAGGAATGCTACCAAAAGATGTTTCAAGTGACAACATCTACTTGGTTTTTTGTTTTTTTTTTAATATTTTATCTATTTGACAAAAAGAGTGAGAGGGCATAAGCAGGGGAAGCAGTAGAGGGAGAGGGAGAAGCAGAATCCCCGCTGAGCAGGGAGCCTGACATGGAACTTGATCCCAGGACCCTGGGATCATGACCTGAGCCGAAGGCAGATGCTTAACCATCTGAGCCACCCAGGCGCCCCAACATCTATTTGTTCTTAAGGCAGACTGGGCAGCCTTCCATATCATAGTGGGACCAAAACAGGTTTCAAAGTGTCCTCAAAGGTTTTCCTCTGTGTTTTAACGTTTATTTTTATGTAGTGTTTATTGCTATGGGAAGTCTCTAAAAGAAAACTTCTGCTTAAAAATAAAAGCAAGGGTGGTCTTAACTACCCTGAATTCCTTAAAACAGAGGTTCTGATCAAATTTAGAATGAAGCAACAATGGGTTTCTTGTCATGGCCTTCATATATTATCCTCTGTCTTACCCACATTTTCACATCATTTTCAGAAGAAAACACCTTCAGGGATTTGATACTGTAGTATGCAATCTTCAAAGCTTTATGCTGAAAATGAGAACTGTGTCCACCCAAGACTTGCTGTTGGCGAGCCCCACGGCCTCGGGACTGTTCTGTGCTACCCTCCCAGGCAGGGGGCACTTCCTGCAAGAGGCCCTGTGACGGGGCACATGACTTCTTCCACAAATGACCTATCCCCGCACGTGCACCATCTAAGAGGAAGGAGTCTGGGCGCAGCCCATCAACAAACAAAAACAGGACACCAGACAGTGGGGAAGGGAAATGCCTAAGGAAAAGCTAAAACTGCTCTAAGGCATATAAATCCCAGGCCCTGAGAAAGAATAGCTTCTTAACCCCTCCAAGCCCCTAAAGAGGAAGGCCGCCACGTTAATTGGCAAGTCAGTAGAGTCTGGGGAAGGAGAGGAAAGCAGGGGAATGGTTTCTACAGCATTCCAACAGGTATTTCTTTAGGACTAGGGAAAAAGCTGACTGTGAGCCTTCACATGCCATATGGAGCCACCTGGTATCTGCATTTTTTGTTGTTGTCCTTTAGTGATTCCTGAATGTGTTGCAGATTATGCTGCTAGCTTGGCTTACACAAAAGATGACAATTTAATAAGAAACATAAATGTTTGGCAATTTGCATTAAATCACCATCTGGTCCAAAGGAAATCTTCATATTTAAAATGTATATATCATCATTTGCCTTCTGTTTAATCTATTACATGTTTTATGGGGAATCTGAAGTTGGATTATTAACTCCTACCACTTTGAAACAA